AAGAATCAATGAATCAAAAACTTTGTTTCTTTGAAAAAATAAATAAAATTGATACGCCCCTAGCAAAACTTATTTTAAAAAGGAAAGAAAAAATTCAAATTAAAGTGATAAGAAATTAAAAAGGTGAAATACAGGCCAATCTCCCTAATGAACATAGATACAAAAATCATCAATAAAATATTGGCACATTAATGGTTATGACTGTTATGTATTCATTTATTATTGACATGTTATATTTCTGCTGTTGTATATTTACCTTTTCTACTACAGACTCTGTGGAAATATAGAAGATCATCAATACCTATTTGAAAAACTTCTACTCTCATAGATTTGATAACACAGAAAAAATGGACAGATGCCTAGAAACATATGAGCTACCAAAGCTGGGACAAAAAACATGTAAACCTGATGAATAACCCAATTTCTATTAAGGAAACTGAAAAGGTAATTCAGTCCTTGCCTATAAAGAGGCGCCCAGGCCCAGATAGATTAACTGTGGAATTATACAAGAAATACAAAGAAGAATTAATGTCGTCACTCCTCAAAATGTTCTTGAAATCGAAAGGGAAGAAATTCTTCCTAAGTCTTTACCAGTAGCAAATATTACTGTAGTTCCAAAATCTGAGAAAGACCCAGCTGAAAAAGAGAAATACAGGTCAATCTCCCTAATGAACATAGATACAAAAATCATCAATAAAATATTGGCAAATAGGATGCAGCAAATCATCAAGAAGATTATACACCAGACCAAGTAGGATTCATCCCAAGCAAGCAGGGAAAGTTTCACATATATAAATTAGTAAATGTAATCCACATATCAATAGACTCAAAATTAAGAATTACATGGTCATTTCTATGGATGCAGAAAAAGTTTTTGATAATGTACAGCATTCATTCATGATAAGAACCTTACAGCAAGTTGGAATAGATGGTCTTTACCTCAATATGATAAAGGCCATTTGTGACAAACCAACAGCCAGTACCATATTAAATGGGCAAAAACTGAAGGCCTTTACTTTAAAATCAGGCACAAGACAAGAATGTCCCTTATCACTGCTCCTATTTACCATAGTACTAGAAATACTAGCCAAAGCAATTAGACAAGAGAGAGAAATAAAGGAATAAAAATAGGACAAGAGGAAGTTAAATTATCATTATTTGCAGATGACATGATACTCTACATAGAAGATCTCAAAACTCCATTGAAAGACTCCTAGATATAATAAATAAATTCAGCAAAGTAGCTGGATACAAAGTCAGTACTGAAAATAAATAGTATTCCTATACATTAACAACAAAATCACTGAGAAAGAAATAAGAGAAGCCACACCCTTCGCACTAGCTTCCTAAAAAATGAAACACTTAGGAATTAATCTCACAAGTAAAAAAATCTATATGGGGAAATTATAATACCCTGAAAAGGAAATTGAAGAGGATCTCTGAAAATGGAAAGATTTCGTTTGTTCATGGGTAGGAAGAATAAATATTGTGAAAATGAGCATTCTCCCAAAACTGTTATACAGATTCAATGAAATCCTAATGAAAATGCCACAAATATACTTCATAGATCTAGAGAAATCTCTCCCGAAGTTCATCTGGAACCAGCAGATACCTAGAACAGCAAAGGCAATTCTAAGTAGCCAAGGCAAGGCAGGAACCATCGCAATCCCTGACTTGAAGTTAGACTACAAAGCTACTGTGATAAAATCAACATGGTACTGAAATAAAAACAGATCTGAAGATCAACTGGATATATTAGATGATACAACCACAACTATAAACACACTCAACCGTCTTGTCTTTGACAAAGGAGCCAAACATGTTCACTGGAAGAATGAGAGTTCTTTAATAAATGATGTTGGAAAAACTGGTTCTCCGTATGCCAAAAACTAAGAGTAGACCCATGCCTATCACCACACTTTAAACAAAAATCTGAATGGATCAAAGATCTGAATGTTAAAACAGAAACACTAAATATGTTTGAAGAGAAATTAGATAAAAATCTTGAAGACATATGGATAGATAGAGAATTCATGAACAGGAATCAAAGCACATGGGAAATATTTTCCAAAATCAGTAACTGGGGTCACATCTTATTAAAGAGTTTCTGCATGTCAAAAGAAATCTCCAGCCTAATGAAAAGAAAACCCCCAAATTGGAAATCTTACTAAACTGCCCCTCAGACAAAGGAATTCTTTCAAGAACATATAAAGAATTTAAAAATATCAGACCCCGAAATTCAAAGACTGAATGCAAGACTGAGCATCCAAGATGAATACACAGTTCTCAGATGAAGAAATACAAAAGGCTAATAAATACATGAGAAAATCTTTGCCATCATTAGTCATTAGAGAAAAGCAAATTAAAACAACACTGAGATTCTATTTCACTCCAGAAAGAATGGCCAGGATCAAGAAAACCACCAACAACAAAGCTGGAGAGGCTGTGAGGGAAAAGGAGCTCACAGTGATATATGTGCACCCATGTTTATAGCAGCACAATTTGTAATAACCAGTTCTTGGAAACAACCTAAGTGTCCATCAACTAAGGGATGGATAAAAATGATGTGGTATTTTTATACAATGGAGTACTAATCAGCTACGAAGAATGATCACATTGATATATTTATAAATAAATGGTTCTAACTTGAAACCATATTCGTAGGTGAAATAAATCAAACTAACATGTATAAGTACTGTGTAGTCTCCCTAGTGTAAGAAATGGTAATAGTACATAAGATTTTATGGGAATCATGATTCCCCATTACATACATTGCTTTGAAGCCTCATAATGTTTTCATTCATTAGTTGGAATGGTTTTATTCTGTTTTGTTTGAATTTATTATTCAAATGTGATGATATTAACAGCTATTCTGAAGAAAACAAGACATTATGGCAGCCATTGTTGATTTAATATCATATTGTTTTGAAGTCCCACCTCCCTACCTACCATGCTTTTGTTCTTCTCTTTCCATTAGTTCTATTATATTGTATCTTACTGAATTTTAATGTGTGTGATAGTATAAACAATTTTTATGGGAAATGAGATAATATAGTAGCCATTGTTCATTTTCTGTTATTTGGTTCTGAATTCCCTGTAATTCTTTCATTCTCTTGAAGGGTTTTATACTATTTTGTTATGTTTGATACTATTGCATGTGAAGGTATGTTCAATTATTTCAAAGAAAGAGGCATTATGGTAGCTACTGTTAATATTGGGTTGTCTGGTGTTGAAGTGCTGTGTTGCTTATATTGTTCTGTAATAATATGCTTTGTTTAGTCCTCTTTTGTCTTAATCTCTTTAAAATAAAATAAAAAAATTAAAAAATAAAAACATTATATGATTTAGATATAAATATATAACTATGTATGTGTATATATGTGTTTGCAAGATAGATAATTATACTACTGGCCTGATAGTTCACCAAAAAGATCTATAGGTCATCATATTGGTTTGATTTTCTGAAATGGGATGTAGCAATATATGTTACTGTTTGATGTCTTAAAAATTCTCCCAAAGATTATTTCATGTGATGTTTGAATTCCCTGCATCTCAAGAATATGAAATGCTTAGAAAGGTACTTATTTTAAAACTCATGAAAATAAATGAATAAAACAAGAAAATAGAAATACTATAAATATAAAAATGAGCAAAAGTATAGGTTCACATTGATTTTCTCATTTAAGAAATACAAATCCAGGGAACATCTTGTTGGGCTTATATAACTTTAAGAGGAGTAGTGTGGGGTAGCGATGTAGGTCAGTGGCATAAGTGCCTGCCTGGTAAGCATGAGCTTGTGAGTTCAGTCCCTGGTATGAAAATAAAAAAGGAGCAACAACTCTCCATTCACTTCACCAACAGAATTTGTTGTATTGGATCTCAGTACACTTTTGTTTACAAATTTCCTTCATTTTTCTCTTCGAGGAAGGGCTCAGGTGTTTCTTAGTTACTTACACAATATCTGCCATATGAGGTTAACAATATCAGATACTTCTGCATTCCTCCAGGAGATTCATCAGGATGACTCTGCAATAGATATATCCCCATAAGGATGATTCTGAAATAGATATAGCCCCAAAGGGTAATTAATTTCTTTACATGTTAAACTATGTGTGAAAAGACCTGGTGCTTGTTACTCAGCATTCTGTAGGCAAGATATCCGTAGTATCTCAGAAATTCTAACAAAAATTACACTTTTGACTTTGTATTAGTATTGTTACTACTAGATGACATTTTCTCATTGAATTGCTGATTTGAATTTATAAGGACTGATTCAGCTCATTTTCTCTAGAAACGTCCAAAATTTAGATTAATATTCCTAAAAGCATAGTACACAGATGGTACAGAATTAGAAGTTTTCAGTGTTTCATGTATGCTCAATGTGTGTAGTATGGATCAAGGGATATTATCATTAAAGGATGTTTTATTGTACAGTATGATGGCCACTAGCCACATGTGGGGCTTAAATTGCTCTAGTAATATGTAGTGAAGTAACAATATATGTGTTATATTAAATTTTAAAAGCACATTATTAAACAGCAACTTTCCCTCTCAATTTTATAGGGGGGGATTTCAAACTATTCATGTAGTTTGCATTACATTTCTAATTGTCAGTACTCTTATAAATACTGACTGAATATTGTCTTGCTTAGAGACAAAGTAAGACTACATGCATCAGTGAGTACCTTAGAGTAAACCCCCGGGAAAAAAAATCAATCAATTTTTTGTTGAATATGAAAAGGCCAAACTTAACCCCAAAACATGGAGATGTTCCTCTGCAAATTACTAAATCTATTCTTGTGTTTTTGCTGTCTATCAAGAAATTTAAACTTCTTTACTACTCACATGCATCTCCTTACACTGGAGAGAGGTATTATCTTAATCATTTCATATGAAGCTTTCTTCTTAAACTTTGCCTCTCTCAAATTTTTCAGATGATGATAATGGTCACCAGTATAAGTCAAAATCTGTATTATGTAATTAATTCACAGTTCTTCAGGATGACTACTGTGGAGGAATTGAGTCCCCCAAAATTACTGAAACCCTCAATACATGCCCCTCAAGAAATTCGAGAAACTGCACACAGAAAGGGCTGTGGAGGTACTGTGAAATGTGCATAAAATAAAGTTGGAATAGAAACATTTGCTAAAAGGAGCTAATTCAGAGGATGAGGACAGGGGTAGGCTGTTCAATTAATGCTTTGCTAAAAAGAGTAGATTCACACAGATTCCAATTCTTATTAAACTCAAGAACAAAGTATATTTCACCTTTTGCTCATTTATTTATTATAATATCTGTTTAAGAATTATGAGAATTTCAAATATGTTGCTAACTTAAAATATTTATAAAATAATGTAGCTAAGTAGTACTTGTGCTCTAGTTGAAAGTTATAGACATGATGGCTAAGGTTAAAATGTCATTAAAGTTCATGAAGCATCATAAAATGAAATGCCAATCATAATATAAAATTAATAATGCTACCTAGGGAAAAGGATCTTTGTTATACTAGTTTTGAATAAGGTAATGATACCTTCACTTTGTCCTATTCCTAAACCTAAAACCCTTGCTTTCACGAAAGTTATTCTGCAGTTTGTGTACTGTGTTTGACTAGCTGTAGAAGAAGGAAACACATCTAAGAATGATTGCACTTTCCTCAAAATTCTTTACTCATGATCTGAGATATTTCTAGTATCTGAGTTTGTAGGAGAGTGTAGGTGAGTTGGAGGGCTGGACGGCAGATGAGACCTTAATAAAACAGCAGTTATGAATCCATGGTGCTTTCAATGAAGCAAAGTAAGCAAAATCTACTCTGTATCAAATTCTGCAGATCTACTCAATAAAGACAGAAATGAATGTACTTACCAGACTCTCATCATATGCAATGCAGAGTTCACCTATCTCAGTGTGAGGAAGGGGCTGAACAAGATGTCACAGGAATGAAGTAACTGCTTGAAGACCTGGACTACACTGTGACTGTGAAAGAAGACCTGGACTACTCTGTGATTGTGAAAGAGAATCTCACAGCCAGGGTGAGAGTACACACATGCACCCAAGCTCATGTGTTGTCAAACACACATTTCACTTATAAATTAGTTTCATAGTGTTAAAGAAAAGCACCAACAATCCATGGGGCTATCTCTGTCTATCTGTCTGTCAGCCTGTCTGTCTGTCTGTCTGTGTCTGTCTGTCTGTCTGTCTGTCTGTCTCTCTCTCTCTCTCTCTCTCTCTCTCTCTCTCTGACTCTGTCTCTCTCTGTCTCTGTGCATGTGTGTGTGTATGTGTTTATATACACAGTTTATTAAATATAGGATTAAATAGACTAAATTTAGATCCCTTTGGTACAGTAGATATCCTCAGCTTTATGCAATTGCGCAGTGTCCAATAATTCTTATGATGTTCTAAGTGGAATGTTCTGGAGTCAGGGAAAGAAATTTGAGGAGGAATGAGTGCTACTTAGGTGTGTATTAACACTAATATTAGTTCTGACTTTGTGGCAGAGTTCTTTGTGTCACTTCTATATGTGTATAAATGAGATCTAAAATGTCTGTTTTGCACTGATCACTTTTGGAGGAAAAATCCAAATATAAGGAAGCTACAGATTTAGATAAGTAATGTGTAAATAAAACATAGGCAAGAAGAGACCTAGAATAACAAGGACAGTAAGCAGCAAAGGCAAGGCAGGAGGCATCACAATCCCTGACTTGAAGTTATACTACAAAGCAACTGTAGTAAAATCAACATGGTACTGGAACCAAAACAGAGCCAAAGATCAATGGAATAGCTTAGAAGATACAACCACAACTACAAACACACTCAACCACCTTATCTTTGATAAAGAAGCCAAACATGTTCACTGGAAGAAAGACAGTCGCTTTAATAAATGGTGTTGGAAAAACTGGCTCTCCATATGCCGACAACTAAAACTAGACCCATGCATATCACCATGTACTAAAATAAAATCTAAATGAATCAAAAATCTAAATATTAAAACAGAAACACTATTGGAAGACAAAGTGGGTAAAAAACTTGAAGACATAGGAGTAGGTACAGAATTCATGAACAGGACTCAAACCACACGGGAAATACTTCCCAGAGTCAATAATTGGGATCACCTTTTATTAAAAAGTTTCTGCACGTCAAAAGAAATCTCCAGCATAATTAAAAGAAAATCCACAAATGGGAAAAAAAATCTTAGTGAACTGCCCCTCAGGCAAAGGACTTCTGTCTAGGAGATCAGTCTGGAGATTTCGCAGAAAGCTGGGACTGGAAGCCCCATTTGACCCAGCTATTCCACTTCTAGGCATATTCCCAGAAGAACTGAAAGCATCATACCACAGTGATATATGTGCATCCATGTTTATAGCAGCACAATTTGCAATAGCCAGGTCTTGGAAACAACCTAAGTGTCCATCAACTGAGGAATGGATAAAAAAGTTGTGGTATTTTTATACAATGGAGTACTACTTATCTATAAAGAAGGATCACATTGAGATATTTATAAATAAATGGGCGCAGCTTGAGACCATACTCATAAGTGAAATAAATCAAATTCACATGTACAAATACCGAATAGTTTCCCTAGCGTAATAAATGATAAGAATACATAAAAGTGTGTGGTAATCATGATTCCCAACAATATTGGTTTGAAGCCATATAATGTTTTCACTCATTAATTGGAATCGTTTTAACCTGGGTTGTTCAATTTTAGTATCTGTGATAGTACGAATAGCTATTTTGAAGAAAACAAGACATCATAAGAGCTAATGCTGATTTAATATCATCTTGTTTTGAAGTCCCTTCAAGCTGTTGTACATCTGTTTCACTTGTTTTAACATGTTGTATCCTACTATACTTTATTATATGTGATAATATATACAAAATTTTTTATTGGTAAAAAGATAATATAGAAGCCGTTGTTCATTTTCTGTTAGCTGGTTCTAAATACCCTGTAATTCTTTCATTCTCTTGAATGGCTTCACACTGTCTTGATATGCTTGATGCTATAGTATACGAACTTATACTCAAATAATCTAAAGAAAGAGGCACTATGGTGACTACTATTATGTTACTTTACCTGGTGGTGAAACACAATGATGCTTAAATTGTTGGGTTCTGACCTGTGTTATTCTGTTACAATGTTCTCTTTTATCTCAATCCCCCACCTTTTAAATTAATCTATTTTTTCTTATTTTTTAATTAAGGGGAAACTAAATTAAAAATAGTGGGATATATTAAGGTAACTTTTTTGTTTTCATATTAACCTGATTTGAACCCCAGTATTGCTCTCTCCATCTTGTTCTGTCTGATTTTACTATATACTATTTTGTTTGGTAGTATCAAATTCGAGGGTATAGGCAACCACTTTGAAGGCAATAATATTTACTATTATGTCCATTATGGTTTGACTATTATCTTCTTTTGAAGTCCTGTAAGGTCTCCAGTGTAGGTTTTATTGGTCTTGTTCTGTACTGTTTTTGTCAATTCTATTATACCTGATGATGTAAACAACTCTTTTTAAAATAACAAGAGGCACAATGGTAACTATTTTTGATCACCTGGTATTCCATTTTTGCATCATGTACTATGCCCTTCCTTCTGTTCTAACTGACTCTGTTTTGTTTAGACACGTTTGGTTTTATTCTCTTCAAAAAAATAGTAATAAGAACTGTGGGAGTAATAAAACCCAAAAAGTGTAATTGTTATTGTAAAAAAGAGAGGAAAAGAAAGTGGTCTAAAGGATATAACTGCATATATAAGAGTGTAGGATAGAAAACCATATTACTGAGCTTTTGTTGGATCATTGAACAGAACTGTCTGCAATCTCATTGCATGTATGTCCACTTTGTATGCTTTGATTTTGTAATTTGGACAACTGTTTCTAAGATGACACTGTGTGGCCTGTTGACTAGTGATTTCTCAATGTATATTTTCTCTTGAAATTTTGTATTGCTTGTACCCTTTTACTGCTTTGTTTTTTTATTTCCTTTCTTTTTTCTCTTTAAATTAAAAAAAAAAGAAAATGTGGTATTCACACACAGTGGAGTACTACTCTGCCATAAAGAAAAGCTTGAGTCATTTCTTGGAAAAGAGATTCAGCTTAAGATATTGTGTGAAATAAATCATACATGCAAGCTCAAAAAATAAAAATAGCTTAATAATAAAAAAATAAAAGAGAAAATGAGAGAAAATGGAGAGTTCAGAATAATATCTGAGGTCAACTAGAAAATATTCTGCGGCAAGATAACATAGTAACCTAGATATTATTATTAGGAATGATATAGTTCAGGAGAGATGTGAGGCAAATGCCTTGAAAATAACATGAGAGAAGTACAACTTAAAAGTCTAAACAGAGAATAAATCTGTCATGGTTTATGTTAGTGGTCCCCAGGCCTCATGTGTTTGCATTGTGCATTTGTGATTGGTTTGTTGTCTAGCATTTCGATTGATGGTGTCAGTGCTACACCTGCCTAGGGGTGGAGCCAGCATACAATGTAATGGCTGAAGAAGATGTGTCTCTTGTCTCTTGCCAGTTTCTACCTTCCTGTTTGCAGCCATCATGAACTGCAGCTCCACCATGCCACCGTTTCTTGGAGCCAACTGAGTATGGACTGAAACGTCCAAGAACTGTAAGAAATAAACCTCCTTGCCCAACTTTGGGCATCAGGTATTTTGTGTCAGTGACAAGTAAAAAGTAACTAAGACAGCATCTTTCCTGAAAGAACACAAACAGAAATTGTTACAATTAGAGTTAGTAAATCTGGTGAGTTGGATTGATTTTTATCACTCATCCTACTGTGGTAAGACTTTGGCCTTTTCCAGTGTATGGAGTCAGTGCTGAGTGAATTTGCTGGCAAACCAGAGCACAAATCCTCAGACAGCATATTCTTGGTTCTTATGTCTCATGGCATCCTGCATGGAATCAGTGGAACTCTTCATAGTGATGACAGCCCAGATGTGCTTCAATATGACACCATCTTCAAGATATTCAACAATTGCTCCTGCCCAGGTCTAAGAGACAAACCCAAAGTCATCATTGTGCAGACCTGCAGAAGTGGTGAGTTATCAAACAAAAAAATCTAACAGTTCTAAAGGTGTTTCCAGAGGAAAAGCTTGTGTGTTTTATGTAACTAATAAATATCACAGGCTCCAACTAAACATAAATATTAGGAAATTTTTCCTGAGGTAGTGTCTTGAGAAATTGGCTGCTCTCAGCTCATAAATTTTTATACAGTTTTCAACCATGGTAAGTACTACAGAAGTCTTCAGAATCTCTTATCAGGTAATCATAACTAGTCAAGCCTTAGGGTAGAATCATTTTAATTACAGCTTTAGCTGAAATTGTATATATAATATTTGATTTTAAAAGATAAATACTTAAAAATAAGGCCATTCTCAATATAGCAATTACAACTTCTACAACTCCATTCTTACCAATATAAGGATCATCTAGTCAAACACTACACTCAGAATCATTGGAATTAAAATTTACTGCACATTTTAAAAACCCTAAAATATATTACAGATACAAACCCAAATATTATAGAATATGCCATCAAGCAGCTGGAAAATATCCATTTTTTAATCAGAATGGGGAAATTATTCTGAGCTAGATTATGTATTAGGCCATAAACAAGACAGTAAATTAAAAATTAGTGCAGTGATTTCCTCCATCTTCTAAGATAATAGTGGAATGCAGTGAAAGTAGAAATCAGCAGCAAAGTAAATTATACTAGCAAATGGATTTGTAACTGCACTTCTGAACTGGGTTTTTTGAAGATTCAGGGTAGGCAAACCTATACCAGAATTAAATAAAAACTGGCACACAACCTACCTGAACCAATCAGATACAGGAAAATCAAACCAAGTAAGAGCTTTATAGCAATGAGTGACTTAATCAAAAGACAAACAGATGGAGAAAGACAAAAGACAGCACTCAAATAAGTAATGTAATGATGTAGTACTGGGTTCTAGAAAAATAATGACAAAGCAAATTCAAATCAGTACATAATGTAAAAAATAATAACGATAAGTTGTAAACTAAATGTAATAGAGACAAAGAATTATGCAAACATTGGTTCTTTGAAAAGACAGACTGAACCAACCAAAACAAACTAACAAATTAAAAAAAAAAAAACAAGCTAATTATGCTAGACGTGAAAAACTAGTGGTGTAGTAAACAATAATAGTGAACACAAAATCATTAAGTAATATTTGGGTAAGTAATTTGCCTTTAGTTGGAAGATACATAAAAATGGTCACATTTTCAACCATATATGACTCATTAAAATTGAAATAAAAGTATATGAAAGAGATAAAAAGACCAACAAAACTAATGAAATTGAAAGATAACAAAATGGCCCAGAAAAAAATTCAGGTGTAGTATAGATGTACACATGAATTGTACTGGATTTCGAAAAAGAAATAATAGCAATGTTTCTCACATTGTTTCATGAAATGTAAAGGGAAAGAATGCTTCTAAATGAATGATACAAGGCAGTACTATGCTGCTGCCAGAATCCAGTGGGGACTCATTAATAAACAAATAATGAATAAATATCCACAATAATTTTGATGCAACTATTCATAAATTATTTTTCATTGAATTCAGCACCATATCGAAAAGTCATACAATATCATCAAACAAAAAGCAAACAAATAGCACATAAATAAAATCAGAGATTAAAAACTTCAACAGATATAGAAAAATGCATTATCACACCCCATCCTGAAAAACATTCCTTAACAATTTTGGAGTAGGAGCATAATTCAAACCCAGCTAAAAGCTATGTATGAAAAATCCATAGTCAGTATCATACTGCATGGCAAAAAATTGAAACATTTTCTCCAGTACCCAGAATAAGACATTGATGTCCATGCTGACCATTCTTTTTCATTAAGTACTCTAAGATTTATCAGAAAACCTTAAGGTTTTAACCAAAAGACTCCAATAATTGATAAAATTAAGAAACTGGCAGGAGTTTTTAAATCAGCATAGTATACTCAGTAATTTTCCTATACACCAAAATTCTTTAATGAACTGGCTAGAATGAAATCAGAAAAGCAATGTGATTTACCATAGACTCAATTACATACATACATACATGCACACATACATGTGAATGAACCTAACTTAGGATGTGAAAGACTTCTAAAATGAAATTATAAAAAAGAAAAATTATAGATGTCACTCAGAAGTGCAAAGACTTACCACAAAAATGTATTGTGATAATTAAATTTGTTAAAATGGTAATGCTACCAAATCAATCCACAGACTTGATAAAATCACCTTCAAAATGATGATTACACCCTAATAAAGCAATCCTAAAACTCATAAAAGCATAAAAACTCTAAACAGCCATAATGTTTATAGACAAAAACAAAAATGCTGGAGGTATCATAATACATTTTAAAACATAGTACAGAGACATAAAAACAAAGTCAGCATGGTATAAATATGGAGATGAACAGAAAAAAACCTGACTCAAAGTTAATTTATGCATCTACAACCAACTGAAATGTAACAAAAATGCCAAAATATGCAGTGAATAAAAGACAACCTTTTCAAAAAGCTATTCTGGAAGTTTAATAATCACATGTAAAATAATGGAAACTCTAGCCTTATCTCACATACTACACAGAAATCAAAATAAAATGATCATATCCCTTAATGTAACAACTGAAACATTGGTGCTAGTAGAATAAAATGACTGGGACCCACTTCAAGATGTGGACAGAGGAAATGATTTGCTATGTGTGAAGGACTGCAATAACTCAGAAAAGCAAGAATTAACAAGACAAATGGGATTCCATCAAATGAAAAAGCTCCTGTACAGCTAAAGAAATATTGAACAGAATTTTTAAAAGCTTATAGAATGCAAGAAAATGTCAATCAGCTATTCATTAGACAGAGGATTAACATCCAGAATATGTAATGAGATCCAAAAAATAATAGAAAAAGGAAGAATAATTGAATAAAACTGTGCAAATAATCTCAATGGGATTTACCAGTATACTCAGGATGAAATGCTCACTCTCCTTAACAGCCAGGAATAAATGAACCAGAGTGACATTGAGATCTCATTACACTGCTCAGAAAAAGTACTTTCCCTAAAGCAAAAATCACCTATTCTGGTGAATGTTTAAGAAAAATCAACCCTACACAATGTTGGCAAGAATACGAATTTGTATATTCATTATGGAAAACAGTAATGGAGTTTTCTGAATATATCTATAAACAGAACATAAGTTTGAAAAACACCAAACCTAATTGTAGGCCCAAAAAACATGCAAGCACGCAAATGTGATTCTCAATACCAATACTTGTGAAAATGCTATTGAAAATGCTAAATACAGGGGCTGGGGATTTAGCTCAGCGGCATAAGCGCCTGCCTTACAAGCAGGCAGTCATGAGTTCGATCCCCGGTGTTGATAAAATAGAAAAAGACAAAAAATAAATAAATAATAAATAAAAGAAAATGCTAAATACAGAGTCATCTTACTTGCACTTCAACAGATGAAAATATAAAGAAAATATAATACATCAAAAAGTATTCATTCATGAAGGTAAATATTTTGTATGACTCACAGAAAAATGATGGAACCAGAAGACATCAGGCTAAGTGAAATAAGCCAAAAAAATAAAAAAAATAAAAGGAAGAGCACCAAGTATCCATGTATTTTCTTTCAAATATGTAAACTAAATGAAAATGAAGATGAATTTAAACTAGAATAGGGCCTGTTTGGAAATGGCATTTGGTCTGTGGAGAGAAGTGTTTGAGAGATGGCAGAAAGGACATGATGATGGCGCAAAATACAGGAGTATGGAAATGTTACAGTTAAATAATTCCAACAATTAAAATGTGTTAAATACTATAATAATAAAATATTTCAAAAGAAAAAATAGACTAATTGCAAAGTAAAGGATACTTTCTGTTCTCATTATTGGTGTGTTTATGAGTATTGAGTAATGGGTCATGGAGACATTATTATCAATCTTTCTTCTTATGTATTTCTTACTGTAAATTTCATTATGACAATTGGGAACTCAATATTTTAAGCAAACATGATCGATTTACAATCTGGTAGCCATTCTCTGAAATTGTGTAGATGAGACTTTAACTCCTTTTCTAATATCATCACATAGCTTCTTCCACATTTACACTCTCTCTATTTTCAACAGGATGCCGTCACTATTACTGGCATGGTGCTCAATGACAGTAGAGATAAAGCCTAGTAGAGAGAGAGAGAGAGAGAGAGAGAGAGAGAGAGAGAGAGAGAGAGAGAGAGAGAGAGAGTCTGTGTGTAGTTATTTAGAATCAATGATGACAAACAAGGATGTCACATGGTGATACTCCTTCTCAGAGAGGCACGGCAATGTTGAAAGTTGTTTTCTCCACCGGGGAAGTGTGGGTCAAATACTCTGAAGCAGCCCCCAAAGACAGCCTTGCACAGTCATCAGAGAATCTGGAATCAGATGCTATTCATAAGATCCATGTGGAGAAGGATTTCATAATTTTCTACACTACAACCCCACATAGGTGTCTAGGGTTTAGACAGAAATGTATGGGTCTATGGTCACTGAACAGTGACACTAGGAAAAGCAAGATGAGCTCTATAAATTAATAATCTGAGGTTAAATTTTGAGTATTATTAATATATTTTATGTAATTATTATCTGTATTTGGCAGATCTGCTTATGGCCACAAATGCTTTCAAATTACTCTTTTATTATATAAGGTTGTAATTTACACTCAAATGTATATAAAATATATATAAAGCAAACCAATACACAGAAGCCCAAAAATGTTAAACTCATTTAGCATTTTTGATTACACATTTTACAGATCCCAGATGGCCATCCTTTCTCAATTTACTTAAACCCCTTTTCTCTCTATGCCATATATCATTGTATATACAGTAATAGCACTATTAATATCCCCATAGAAATGTGGATGTCCTTTTGAAAGTGGGAAAAGCTGACATTATTATCTCTAATGTCAGAGAATAGTGGTTAATATTTTGCCAGTAGGTAACCATCTAGCAATCCTTAGGTTTGAATTTTCTAATTTGCCAATTTTCAAGTTTCACTTTAAATAACCATCTCTTTGAGAACAAATTAACACACAAAAAGGTATAAATATAATATATAAAAATAACTGAGGTGAATACAAGAAACATTCACAATTCAAGCCACAGACATACTTTTATTCTTTAAAAATTTCTTGTTTTTTTTTCTTTTATCATTGTTTGTATATATTAAAGACCTACCTGAAGAGCATATTTTAGGCATATAATAAAGTATTTTTAGCTATTGCACTATGCTGTAAAGTATTAGTATCTATCTCTTATTCATCTTTTAATACGAAAACCCTGGCTCAGTTTGTGTATTCTGTCTATTATGTTGTGAAGGAAAACATGACATGAAATATAGATCAGCATGGTGTCAGAAGGACATTTTTCATTGCTGCTCCCTGTGTGAACTTGAGAAAGTTCTTTTTTCCTGCTGACCTTCTATTTTTCTCTCCATTAGATGGGATAATTCTAATTATCTAGCCAGCCCTGCTCCATATCTGGTGAATGAGAATAAGGCACCTTGTAAATAACTTATAAACTCATCCAATCTCCTAGAGTTCTCATAAACTTGCACGTTAGCTCCTCCTCTGCCAGCTATTTTTTTCTCTCTGTGGATGTAAGTCAATGTCTGTATAACAAATGTTTCCTATAAAAATATAGTGACAATCCCTTGGCTGTGTTTATCTCTTCTTTTTTAAGTCTAAAAATCCAAAATACTAACAAAATAGTAAGACCATAGACTAAGGCATACCATTCTTGGTCTTCATAGATAACATTTTCTGGAGAGACAGTACAGAAGGCTCCTACTTTATCAAACAACTTATGGCTGGTTTCCAGAAATATAACAGGTGTGATCCTCTATGAAAAATATTCCAGAAAGTACATTTCACTTTCCCTTCAAATAATTCATTTCATTGTACATAAAGATTATTCCTTTGCACTTTTCACAGTGTAATAGCATACTTGTCAGGCAGGGAAACGTAGAGCTTTAGCAGGTTTCTATCATGAAGCTGTTTAAACGTGGTTAGAAAAGATGTCAATATACCCCAGTGGGTGATTAAAGTAAACTAACATCATATAAAAATATAACCCTAGGGCTGGGGATTTAGCTCAGCAGCATAAGCACCTTCCTTGCAAGCAGGCAGTCGTGAGTTCAATCCCCGGTACCAATAAAAAAAAAAAAAAAAAAAAAATATATATATATATATATATATATATATATATATAAAATCCTATATTTCTGAGACTATGAGTTTCTGAGTTCTTATATTGCAGAGAATGGAAAGCATATAAAATTAACTTTCATATTTTCATATATGCAATATTATTTTATACTAGGGAGATTATATGATATTTACAAATGTGAGTCGGATTTATTTTTTATTGTTTGATTTTGTAACTTGAATAACTACTCTGAGATAACAATATGTAATTTATCAACTGGTAATTTATTACTTTTTAAAAAATTCTGTATTATATCTACTCTTTTATCTGTTTTGATTATTTTATCTAAATAAAAAGAAAGAAAGAAATACATACCATGCACCCTACTAGGAAATAGGCTATATACTGGCTATCTACCAGTAAATTAGATATATTTATAAACATTATTCTACCTAAAACTCACATTTTGAGAGATATATGGATACTAAAAAGTGTAAGTCATCTAAGTAATATGTCTTTGCAGATTATCATAGTACCCATAAATAGAAAGACCTAGACTTGTATTAAGGGAATGAATAAACTTATATGGATTGATGAAGAATATAAAATACAAAACTTCTTTAACTCAGAACATTTTTTAAAATTTCCCTTCCTCATTCCTCATTAATCTTTTTCATTGCTCTCACACTCATCTCCCCAGTATGTATCTCATTTATGTGTTTGTTTTTATCTGTATTTTTTCACTGAGTTACAAGCCTCATTTAAACAAGGATTTGCTTAATATTTCAAAATGTCTGACATAAAGTAAACATTACATAATACTTTTTGAATAAAAATGGTTAAATAAGTGGATAAATGCTTCATCTTTCTCATAGAAAATGGAGTTTTTATTTAGAACCCAAGAACCTTTAGTTCTTTTTAAATTAAAAACTATAAAGAACAGTAAAATTCTTGAGAAAAGAGAAAAATATCTTACTAAATAAGAGAACATTGCATTATGGACTAAGTAACAATTTATGTGCATATAGACTTAGGAATTTATATTTTGTTGTGTTAAAGTGGATTAGAAATGACAACTTAAGAGATATAAAAGATATAAAATAGTGCATGTAATGTGTTTCAGTTGTATCTCATGGGACTGTCCAGGGCAAAAGCCTTTACAGGTCCATTTTTGACTGAAATATGAAATTGTTCTTCAGTCAAGTCTGGCACATAAGACTCTGAGAGTGGACAGTCTTTGAGTTGATGGAGGAGTCAGCCTGGGTGGGGTAAATTTGGAATATCATACAAATTCACCTCTCCTGAACAGATCTGAAACAATGATGGTCAGGTCTGAATTCAGAATTGGAAAGGTGAAGAAATGGAGATTGAAAGGACTTGAATTAGGGATAAGGCATTGATATAAAAACCACACGCCTACATGGCCTGTCAGCTCTAAGAGATCAGAAACCGGTGAGAGAAAGCTAGAAAAGCTGTAGCTATAATCCCGTCAACCTCATCAGCATCCTTGATGCCTGGAATTATCTGTTTTGTGTTCAAAATATATTCCGAGATTATTTAAATCTAATCTCATCTAGAGCCTGCCTTTGGTTTTAGGTTCACCTATCATGTGAAAAGCCAAATGGTATAGTTCAGATGCCTACTTTTGGCCGATTAACAGTGGGAAGACTATGCTACCTCTCCACTGGCCACTGAAAAGAGTTATGTACAAAGAATTACTGATTTCAAATAACACAATGAGAAAATTATATTGATGGTGAGGTCCGGTGTCTGATGACATTTGAATATGTGGAGGATAACACTCTGTTCTTTGCTCTACCAAAACCAAGGCAAAAAGCAATAAACATTGAAGGACCCAAGGGTACCAGTTCATAAAATAAAAATGTATTAATTCATTCTTCCATTCTTTATATTTTTATCTCTATCTCTATTCCTTTTTCTTGTGAATAAACACACACACACACACACACACACACACACACACACACACATGAGGTAGGTGGGGGGAAGAAAAAGAGAGAGTTGAATAAAGAAAACAAAACAAAACAGAAAATAAAAAGGCACCATTTGTAGAGACTAGAAAAATTTGTTTCACCAGATGGAGAAGATTCCACATGGTTAACATAGTTCTGTTTTTACAGGACTTGAATTTTTTGGTTATGTTATAAATGCATAAAATAAATTGGTGAACAAAGTAAGTGAAATTCAGGCTGTAAAGAAGTTTAAATTCTAATAATTAGAGATATATTCCTGGTAGACAAACAGTAACATTTACTGTAGTTGAGAAAAATAATATTTCAGCAGGAAAACACATGATCAGCAGTGGTTCACCAGGCAGTGGATGGTGTATTGTCATAGGTAAATTATGAAAGGACTGGGGATGTAGCTCAGCAGCACAGAGCCTGCCTGGCATGTGTGAGGTCTGGAGTTTAATCCCTGGTACAAAAAAAAAAACAAATAAAAGAATAAAAAATATGAAAGACATGTTTGAAATGAAGAATTCAGATAATAAAGAAGAGAAAGAGTGAGGAGCAGGACTCATGGTTGCCATGGAGGATGTCTCATGCCAGGACAGCACAGACAAATGCTATGCACTGGGGGGAAAACGTAGCAAATGTGTTTAAAAAGCTGCATGGAGACAGGGAGAGTAGAGGAGAATAAAAGGAGGAAATGGAAGGAAGAGATTCAACACAGGGTAAAGAGCTGGAACACATGAGCTTTGTGAAAAGGCAGGAAAGGTTTTAAAAAGTTTTACCCTGTGTGAGAAGGAAACCCCTTCAAGTGCTTTTCAGCAGTTCAGTGATATTCCTTATGAGGTCAAAATGCATGGCAAGTGTTTAAAATAATTTATTACTATGAAAGATGCATAGACATTAATTCGACTTAAGTACTTCTCCTTACTCTGAGCGTTCTTACCCCATTGTTCTTATCACTTCTGTTTCCTTTGCATCATCTTGCAACTGCTGAATTGTTATTTCCTGATTCCTTGTTATTTTTAAAAGGTTTTTCTTCTCCTGTTCATTACCTGTAATCTTGGAGGTCTGAAAGTCTATCTTTTTGACTGAGACAATTTTGCCAGCTTTCGATGAAATTTTCCATTTCCTGTGTATCTCTGAGTCTGTTTCTTGTATTTCAGTACTTGCTTATACTGTTCATTCGTTTTAATCGTTTTTGCTGAGTTCCTCTATTTTTTTTAAACTATGTCTTCTTTAGATGTGTTCAGCCTTTCTTTTGTTATATCTTACCATTTCTTCTGTTTCATAGGAGATTATTTCTGATCTGAATTATTTTACAGCTTCATAGAGTTGTTTCTTAACTTCAGTTGATATCATTTCAGAAGTTTCAGGTATATGGCTTACATTTTCTTCTATGTTCATGTATCCTAGGCTTCTTTATGATGGGCTGGATGTATGTGATTGCATTTTGCTCTTTTGTTTTATCATTTTAATGTATTCCCCTG